AGCTCATCACAGTAGTTCAAACTCTTAGTACGGCATTCGACACCACCTTTCATGATCTGACCCCTACTCATCCCACCAGCCTCATCTCCAACGACATCCACAAATACACCAACTCATTGCAGTTCCCAGGAAACAACACACGCTCTCACACCCCTGCGCTTCCACATGGAAGACCCGTATGCTCCGGGCAAGTCTGCATAACCCAAGAGAATCGAAAGCAGGAAAAGGAGAGGGTTTTCCAGAACTCGACCCCTGGGTCTCGAAAGTGTTTAAAAAGATTAAGCAATTCGATAGCAAACCCCCAAAGAAGCCCTCTCAGAGTCCCTCGTCTGCTGGACTACCATCTACACAGCCTTCGACACTCAGCTTCAACGTCACCATCTCCAAGCCTGTCTTTAGCCTCTCCATCTGAATTTGTGGCCCTCCTGCTGCCTTCACAGCCTCTGTGCAGACTGTTTATGTTCACACTATGTCCTCAGAGTTAAACAGTTACTTTTCTTACCCAGCTCCCCCATTAGACTCTGAGCTCTTTAAAAACACAGTACCTACAATGAAATAGCGTAGTCTCAAGACAAACACAGACATGTTTTCTGTGACAACATAAACAGGTGTACAAGGTGTTAAGAGAATATAGAAGGAATTTCTCTGCAGAGAGGTGGGACTAGGAAAAATGTCAGGAAAGGAGTGACAAGAGGAGATGTGAGCTGAATCTTAAAGGATGAGCAGGAGTTCACCACGTAGATGGGTGAAGGGCCTTTTATTCAGAATCAGCAGCACAAGCAAAGCCAGAGCGGCAGGAAGCAGCAGAGGGTCTGGAGATGCGAGGCAGCCCGCTGGGACAGGGTCCAAGAGCAAAAGAACAGTCCTTCGAAGGGAAGGCAGTTGTCAGCCTGAAGAGCCTTGATCTCAAAGACGTCCAATTCTCTCCGTAGCTGTGAGCAATCAGTGGACTCTAAGCAGTGGACGACACAATCAGATTACACTTTATATTTTCAAGCATGTAAACTGATTTCTTTTTGGAACCTTAATCAAGAGTTGAGATCTATGATATGTAATAAGGTCATAAGATAGGCAGACAAATTAAATATATTCATCTTCCCAGTAAATTGTCTTTTCTGAAAACCACAACCTGCTTATTAAGATTACATCTTGTTCATCCTTTTTATCCCTTTTATATAGAAGTGCCTGGTCCTTACACCTTCAAAAACGCATGGAGTGAACTAGACTGGGCTTTGCAGAAGCTACTGTTGGATTGTTGGATATAGAGACGTGTAAGACACAGTGCCCAGCCCCACAGGACGAACAGTCTAGCAGGACCAATGATACAGACACACAAGTAGCCACCCTGCGGGGCAACAGGAGGTAGGCTCTGGGCAAGCGCTATAACTAAGCGTAGAGAAAGGAGAGGGGAATTCCCCATGCTAAAGCCAGGAGGGCAGAAGGGGGAGGCGGCATGTGAGCTGGCCTTGAGGCAGGACTGGTTTTAGTACATTGAGTTAAGAAAGAACATGAACTCCAGAAATGAGTGTGATCATTCATTCCTAACAATGATTCATTTTCAGTTGTATATCTGCTTAGAATTAGGAGTGATATTGATGTAAAACAGAAAAAGCCAACCACAAGGGGGAAAAAGATATAACGTTTGTACAGTGTGATTTTTCCCAGCCCTTGATATAAACAAATGTTGAATTATTCGTTTCTTTCAACTAAAGGCCAAATGGTGAACTGGAAAGAATTTTTTTCAAGAATTTAAAACTATCAGATAACATTTCAGCCGACATGTAACAGTATTTTACTCCCCCACATTGTTCATGTGCTGTTTAAAGTTGATCCTCTGTGGAGGTAGTTGTGATGATTATCAATGCCGACTGAAGTTGACGGAGGGGAAGGAAGGTTTGAGTGGGACAGTGGTGGAGAGATGGTCCATTCACAGCCTGTGCCCCCTCCGATCTCGCCCTGAACTCTAGACCTCGGAATCCAACCACACATCACTCATCTCCACTTCAAAGTCTCACGGGCACTTCACACACAGCACGCGCCACACTGAAGTCACCATCTGCACCTGCCCCAGTGTTCTCTAGCTCCCCGAGGAACACGCTAGAAGCCTGGGTGTCATCCTTGCTATCTTTCTCATTCCTCACAACCATCACCATCACCAGCCACCATTTACTGAATGTGAAGTAACCACGAGCCAAGGATGAGCGAAGAGCTTTGTAAGTATGCGCTTGTTTGATCCTCTAAAAATCCCATGAGGCAGGGCTCTTACCTACATTTTACCAAAAAAGAAGCTATTGCCAGAAAGGTTAGGCAAGTTTCCCAAGAACTGTTTGTACCGGCAGCGCCTGCCTGCAAGCCCGGGCTCCCACCGTGGTCCTGGTGCTGCAGGCCTCTCATCCCTTCTTTCAGCCTCTTTCCATATCTATCCATCTCCCTGTTCCCACCACCACTGAAGGTAAAACCTAATTTCTCACCAGGTTTAGTGTAAGAGCCTCTAATCCTGAGCCTCAGATAGCTATTTTCTAAATTGCCAATCAGGAAACGTTCAGAAATTGGCCTCAGAACCTTAAGTGCCTACAGGTCCCAGCTCTCGCCCTGAGGAAGGGAGCCCCGTGGTACATGGACCACATGCTCTTTCCACGGGGCAGCTGCGTGCAGCTCCAGCCCATGGGTTCCCTGCGGCAATGCAGAGATCCTGATTTTCAACAAAGCCTGATGTTCACGTTTCCTATGAATCACTGGCAACTATTTCAAAGAATGCTAGGACACTCTGTGAGTGAACCAAATTCACTTGTATGCTAGATCCGACCCTTTAGCACCAGCTTATAACCTCCAAAATATAAATTCAATCGTGCAACTTCCCTGCTTAAAATCCTTTCAGTGTTCCTCTACAACGTTGGGATAAAGCTAATCTATTTAAGATGACATCAATGGCCTTCCACGAGTCAGCCCATTCCTACTCCTCCCACAGCATCTCTCGTCAGAGGCCCTTCAAACATAGACCCAATGGCAGATTAAGGTTCTTACACTTCCTGGAGTGTGCCCTGCACTCTGGCTCTGAAGTTTTAATGCATTTTTCTGTCTGGCCAGGGCACCCTTCACTTGACTTACAAATCCCTCAGGATTTAGCTGAGCCACCAGCCCATCACTCCTGGGCTACGATGCTCCCCTCCTGCGCCCCCTGCCCACCAGATATGCTCTCATAGTATCCTACCTTGAAACACATGTGTATCAGAACACACCCCTTCTCCAGTAGTGTCATTGTCTGTGGGGCTTCAACACTGACAGTAAATGACAGGAATGCCTATAGCTACATCTTATTGATACGGTATCTGCAGTGGTTGGCCCAGAATCAGGAGATAGCACTGAATACACATCTGTGAAATGAATGAACCAACTAAACACCAGTGAGTCCGTGCAACCTTCCTGACCCCTCCAGCAAGAAGCAATTCTTCCTCTGAACAACCTCAGCTCTTTATCACTAACCCTTTCCTACTTTAGAAGGACTAAGAGACAACCATCTTACCCGATTAGCTCTCCCAAGCAAGAGTCCATGTTTTATTAATCTTTGTATCTCCCCCAGCACCTGACTTAGCACCTCGCCTCCAGTAAGCTCTCAATTGTTTGTTAAATCACAATAACTCTGAAGGTAATTCTACAATTCCAGTTCCTTCCAGTTCCTTTTCCTTGGTTAGGTAAATGAAACTGTTCTCCAGTCTGAGGTTTGCAAACGGATATTCTTAGAGAAGTGGGAAAGGAATGAGTCAGAAGCATAGATGGCTATCCAATGAGAGTTCTTACCTTAGAAATGAATAATTTAAGAAATTTTCTACTTCCAATTGACTACTTCCAAAAGATGGACATGGGAAATAAAATGCACTTAAAAACATGCTATTCCATGGGTACTATGACGGACCCAAGTAAAACACCTTCCAGAGTTATTTGTCTTCTCTATATTGACCCCACAGCAATAAAAGCTAACATTTGTCACAAGGCACACTACTTATGGCCAGCAACAATCTTGCAAAGTAGGTTTAAAGATTAGGAAATTGGGCTCAGAAAAGTTAAATAAAACATCTGGTATCTCAGAGATGGTAAGTCACAGGAACAGGTCCTGAACCCAGATCTGTTGGTGACAAAGCCCACATCCTACTCTTTCATTGGCAGTGCCTCCCTAACCTCAGCCATGGCTCTGCTAGTTAATCTTGTGACTGACAGTAGATTTTTTAAGGCTCCCTAAACAAAGAAATTCCTTAACTTTTATTTCTAGCCCTATCCATTTTGTTCCCAAATGTTTTTATTAAAATCTTCCCTTAAAAACATTTTTTATGATGTGATAGTATCTTTCATCTATTAGTTTAAAGTGTGTTGTCTTCTTGGCACCAATTCCATTAAATGGAATTTCATATATTTCACCAAAATTTTCCACTGAAGTTTCATAAGGGTGATCTATGAAGTGACACTATTCACTTCCAAAGATATTTTAAACAAGGACTCCTTTATGTACCAAAACAACAGCATGAGTACTCATACGTGCTATTATAACATCTTATGTATTCTACACAATAAAAATACTTCTTACCTGAATTTTCCCATGGAGAATTAATGAATATGAGACACAATTCCCTCAGGTTAATGATAGGCTGGTGTTAGTACTTTCATTTGTAGACTTTGTTTTTTTATTTGCTTCTTTAAGTTTTAAAAATATAAACTGTCCTTTAGGTTAGAATGGAGGTCAATTTATTAGATTCATAAAATAGGAGAAAGGAATTATAAACTGAAAAGGAAAAGTTTAACGTGATAACTGAAATAAAATTAACTTATTGTAATTACGAACAGAATAAACACATCTCTATGGAATACAGTTTTCCCAAAAAAAGAGTAACTGAAAAACACAGCTAATGTTAAGTTTTATTGATAACTTTGTGAAGTTATTATTTAGAAGTTATGCCTTTCAAGACACAGATTAGCCAAAATTATTGCAAGAAATATGATCCTCTAACCTTTGAGCTGGCACCTTATCCTTGCTATTCTCTGCCTTAAGACGTAGAAAGCTGCAAAACAAATGTCCAAAAAAAGAAATTCCAGATCTTTTCTCTGCAAGGAGCTGGACTGGGGCATTTATCAACTTGTTACATTCCCGGAGACTTACACATTCAACTTTCAGTGCTTTTCTGAAACAACAAAAAAATCTAGGACATGTTTAAAATAGTAATATTTTAGTCACCATTTTGTCATTAAAAAACATTTTGTAACAAAAATATTAACCAATAATTGAAGTTGTGCTATTCTTTCACAGTCCAAATTCTAAACTATTTCAACCATTTTGTGACACTGTACCTTCCCATCCAAAATTTTTCATTTTCAGAATATTAATTTTTGGTTCCAAGAGACAGTATCCTTTTATTTAAATGAGTGTTGGACAAAATATCTGAAAAAAATTAAAGCTTTTGATCAATGAAGAACCAAGGCTGGTAGTTTTCCAGTTGATAATCTTCACTTACCTGTGTCTTACATGCTGTGTGCTCCCTTCTCTTCAGCTCTGGGAGGAAATACTAAGGTTTTTTTCCTTTCCTTCCACAGCACTCTCTTCTTGCATGGCTGCTTCGGTTGTCAATGGCAACAAGAATTACCGTGAAAGCTCAGCCATTCCACTTGAAGATATATAAATAACCCAGTTTAATTGAAGAAAATGGAAGAAACTTGAACCACTACTACTAACGCTCAGGGTTCGACCAGCCTAGCGGTCCTGGAGGCAAGAGAACGAGGATTTATCACTTCTCCCTTGGACTAATGCCTTCTCTCTTTCAAGCATAAAATTTTCACTTTAACTTTCAATTTGTGTATTTATTTGTAGAATTTAAAATCCGGTGAATGGAGCCTTCTTTTGGGTAATATTAGAAGAAAAAATTCTAAGTCCAAAATGATTCAACTAGTGTAATAATTTAACTATTGATCCAGAGTGATTGCTCTGTATGTTTAAAGGCACACGTTACATTTGCTTGTTAGAGATTATTTTCGCATTGGTTAGATTTACAACAAATTAGTGTTTTGTTTTTATTGTGGCTGTTAACCTTAAAAGAACTCACCATATCTTGATGCTGACACATTTCTTAAAATAGGGTAATGAAATATATCACGTACAATGTAAGCAAAAAGCTGAAAATAAATCAAAGCATAAAGTGCAAATTATATTCTAGAACACATATTAAGGGAAACTGTTTATGACCGTGGTCGTGCATGAGAAGGAAAAGATATAAAAGGATACCGTTTCTTTAACACTGTTGAACTGCCAATTTTGAAACGTCTAATTTACTGAGAAAAATATATTAAATGGTTTTAAACAAAGGTAAAACAACTCAATAAAGAATAGCAAACGTGATTATTTTCTAACCAGTTGTATTAGTATCAAGCAGCCAAGCAGTTCTGTGCAGTTTATTTCCATCTTACCATATTTTAAAGTTGGGTCACATTTTTCCTACTTATAAATCAGCCTTGACACACAGTGATTTAGTAAATTTTATGCTACCAATACCTATGCCTATTAAATAAGATTCCTAGCATAAAATTTCAGCCTATTTCCCATATTTAAAAATTTACATTTTAAAACTCCACATAACTGTATTTTAAATCAAAGAAATGTTAAGCCTGGAATAGATTACTTCCAGGAAGTTTCTGGGGTCTACTCTCTCCTGAAGCATAAGGAAATTTTCATAGGCAACCATCACCACAATTTTTGTGAAAGTCACCAAAAATAAACACCCTGCATGCATTTCTGTGGTGTGAACCCCACTGCGAGAAGCCTGAAACAGGACTCATCAGAAGCATATAATACAGGAAATTTGTCCCATTTTCTCCTGATGATCTGTTTCCCTACAGCCGTCATGAAACAGCCGCAGTAGGAAATACATGCAACCCTGCCAGCGGGGCCACTCAGCTGCGGTCTCCGACTCCAGGAGTCTCTCCTGAGACCGCCCGAGAACACTGCCTCAGTTCGTCTGCCGGCTCTCAGCGATGCAGGGCCCGGTCAACCATGGTCAGCACTCTGATGATTCTATGAAATGGTGACTAACGCTAACCAGAGAAGCTCAAGGGTTCAGGAACCACTTTTTCTTGCCTGCTGAACACAGGTTTACAGACGTGGAGCCAGTCCTGGGCTTCGGACAGCGTTAAGGAAAAGGAGGGGGGTGTCCCCCAAGGAGCTGAGCCCAGTAATTTCTACAGGGATCCCTGTCTTCTGGCGTAGAGTTTGAGTGACTGTACAGGACTATAAAAAGCCCAAATGTTAGGCCAAGCCTAACCTCTGAAGAGGAACTAAAATGTTTCAGGCGAAGATGGCTGACGCAGTTTCCACAGGACGCAGACAGGAGTCACACAGCCCCTCAAGCAAAGAGCAGAGCGTGACACATGCGCCCCCTTACAGGTGACGATGGCAGGTACGTGCATGAAAGGAGAGGTCCTCCCTGACATTCCACTTCTCCTTCTCATCCCTCATCTTCAGTTAGGACAAGTCATAACTTTAAGAAGTTCTCAATACCCCACGTTTATTTCATGCTGTATTTCTCATCGTCAAAAAGGTTGATATTCGCCTGGCAAACTCTATTTACAGACAGCTACCCAACTCTGTTCTTTTACAACCCCAGCATCCAGGACAGCACACCCCACGAACAGCATTCTGAGCAAGAATCCGGAGGGCCCCGACCTTCAGTGCTCTCCTTTACACGTGTCAAAGCTGGAGAACGCATCAGACCCCAGTGTAAGAGCAGAGGACAGAACATTTAGCAAAGCTACGAATGACTTCATGATTTCATATTTTCTTCCCCAAATTTGTCTCAAAAAACAGTTCTGCCTTAGTTAGGAAATGAAACTATACATGGGAACATCTTAATTCTTGGCCATAGACACCACGATACAATGAATCTTTTCATTCATCAATGATTTTAAAATTCAATCCAAGGGACAAAGGACCTTGAAACCACCATTGTCTACATGAAACACCACAAATTATTTATGCAATCACAGGAACTTGGGATAATTTATCCAGTAGAAACCACTACCATAGTAAATATATACTATATAAAATCAACTCTAAACACTTGTGTACATTAAAAAATGCAACTAAGCACGAGCTGCCTTTTGCGTTTCTCTAACGGTCAACGGCTTTGCTATTTGTTTGCATGCAAAGATTTGGTGGATAATTACCAAGTGCCTACAAAAGCTTAACACTGAAATAAATTAGGAAGGACCAAACGTTTTAGAAAAATATTTTGGGTGGCACAAAACTTATATTTGGAAAGTCTATCTGCAGAGTTAGTTCCTATAAATTTGGCAACACACACATTTGATCATATAGGGATTTTTCATAGAAGCTGAATTTGAGAACTCTGATTTATGAAAATAATGCTAAAGATTTTTGAAAAATAACACTTTGGCAAAGCAAACATAAATCTAGAAATTTCCAATTGTTTCTTCGTTGGGTACATTAGCATAAATTTAAACTGGGATGACGTATTTCCTAAAATTTCAGAGTAAGTCAATAATATCTACAAAACTTGTAATATCTACTAAATAGTATCTACTAAACTTGTGATATGATAATGTTGTAATAGGAAAACAATGTCAATTCTGGACAATTGATGTCATGAATCTACAGAATAGTTAAAGAGACAGTGAGCAAATGAAGTGTTCAGTTAAAATTTAGCTGACACTAGGTTGTCCAAAAGTCAATCACCTATGTCAAATCCTGAGTCTCAAGGAGGCTGTCCCCTGTATCTAGTACCTACCAAGGCTGTCTCCAGCCTCTAGTTAACATATGGCAGAAAATAAGGGCTTCCAACTAAATAGAATTAGGAAAAAAATGGTTTCTTCTCTAAAATCAAATACTAAAGCTAAGAAACCAGATGTGATTATTCATATCTCTTTTCCTTTCCCTTAGAGTTCAGAATAACAAGCTGACTTAGCGGTGTCGCATCTGGCCAAGTGTAAATTACAATTCTTGGGCCCGGCCTAGTGGCATGGTGCTTAAGTTCATGTGCTCCACTTTAGTGGCCCAGGGTTCGCCAGTTCAGATCCCAGGTGCGCACCCACACACCACTTATCAAGCCATGCTGAGGCAGGCGTCCCACATATAAGTAGAGGAAGGTGTTAGCTCAGGGCCAGTCTTCCTCAAACAACAAAGAAAAAAACCCCTACAATTCTTGAGAGAATCTATGAAAGAACGTGGAATGAACACATAGATATTTGTCACTATTTTACCATACTTAATAATACTTTATCATATCTGGGCTGTAATGTGTCCTTTATGCTGGCTTTATTAGGAATTTTATTAGAAATTCTATTATGACCATAATTATCTCTTTAATTATGCACTAGTAGTAATTAAGTGATGAAATCAGAAAATTTAAAAAGCTTTAGCACATTAAAATGGAAAATTTCTTTATGTTTGATATTACTTAACTGAACTCTATACCCTGTAACACACCAATTCTTTAGTAACTAGGTGTCCATTTGCCACTGACTTGCCCACGGAGACCCCCAGGGAGGTGCCGTCAACCACGTGAGGCCTATGCTTCCAGCCTTTTTCTATGGTTGTAGTCAGTGACTGATAGAACTTTGAAATTTTTCAAGCCAAATTTTCTTGGCTATGTTTCATTATCTTTGAGAACTGATCATTTATTTGTTCCTATGAAGAAATGGAAGATCTTGGCCCCGGCAATGTAAACTCCTCAGACCCCCTCCAGGTTGACACAGGGTGACAATGCAGACGGGTCACATTCTTGGATGGTGTTGACATTGGAGGAAAGGCATTCAAAGCCCCCTCTCTGCTTCTCCCAAGGAGACGGGGCACTTACTGGACTGTGTCCTCTCAAGACACACTTTGACCATCTTTTTTTTTTTTTGAGAGAAAGATTCTCCTAGGGCAGAGGAGCATCAGGGTTTCAGGATCCATTGCCCCAAGGGTTTCAGGAGGACATGAAATTGAGCCCTTCCTCACACCCCACTGAAAAGGACTTCAGTTTGGGCTTGGATGATGCCAGGAAGAGTACATTCCTCA